TTTTTTTTTATGAAATATTCCCCATAAATACATTACAAGGATAACTATGGCAACGTAAAATGTTACGCTTTGGGATTGAGAACGTGTTGACTATGAACTTTCATCTACACAAACATCCACAACCAGTTCCAAGGAAAATCTGTATATGAAAGATAAAAACATTAGAAACTGCTCTTCTTTGTTCCATAATGCTGCAGTAAAAATCTGATCGTCTCTAAATATCGCAAAGTGCTTCATTACAAAATTCTAAGACATTAAAACAAAACTTCACCCAAATACAAGTTTAAAAAGTTGAGTTTTTAGCTGCTTTTTGAAAAAGATCACAGAGTCCACAGTGAACATTTCACTGTTGTCTTGCCTGCTGCTTTGACCCATTCAGTGCTTCATTTTCTTTTCTTTCCTTCTCAGAAATAAAATAAAAAATATAAATACTTTCATTTCCTATATTGTTTTGAGTTTTATTTTTGTCTAAAAAAGTTATTACTTGACAGAAAATATCATCTAAATCATGATATCAGTGATCTTTGACATCCTCACATATATACATCTTTTAAAAATGACAATAATTAAAATCACTACAGCTATGGCAATCATAACTAAAACCACCACACAGCCAGTGATGGTAACAATTTTTCCCCTTTGTTTCAAACATTGAGCATAAGCCCTGGAGTTATCATTTGGTTTAGTGACTCACATCTGGAAGGTACAGAGGGGGAAAAAAATTAAAAAGTTGTTGCACTGGAAGAAATCACGTGTCCATGTCTGCTCTGAAGTGTCACTTACTTAGTGCGTGAGTGACAAGGTGTTAATGTTCCACTGCTGCAGTCAGATCATCCACTGTCTGTGGAGGCTGTTCCTGCAAAACCACAAATATACACCGTTTTATACTTACAGGTCATCTTATGAAGGAGTGTCTGTTATGACCTCATCTGAGTCATTCTTTCATTCTGATATAAAAAAAACTCTGAAACATCTAAAAACATTTCTTTGTTTTTCTTAAGCTGTAAAAGAATGAGCGAGTGCAGCTTCGGGTTAAAATCACACCACAGAAGGCGAAACGGCTTCTATTGGACAGAACACAACAGATTATTTCATCCATCTTATTTTCACTGTAACTTTTACTCTTATTGCAGTTCTTCTTTTCCAACTGCTTCTCCCACAGTCTTTGCTTCTTTTCATCAGATTTGCTTTGAGCTGTTTGCCTGTAAGCTGTGACTTAAAGGGCCGCGAATGAAAAGTGAACCAGTAGGTCACTAGTTAGTTACCATTATACTTCAAATTAACACCATATTCATATTTATGACACATTAATTAAGGTATGTTCCACAGTTTCAGCATCAACAAAATACATCATAACAGACATCAAATCTGTTAGTTTGATTTTAATAACTTTATACAAGTTCAGTTATTCAGTAAAGTCCCTCCACAGACTTTATCTGATGTTGTTGTACATGAACTCCTTCAGACCAAAGCCCATCAGCACACACAGTACAGAGGATATGTTACATTTCTGCAATGTTTAATGTGATTTGATACTCTACATGTTAGTCCTTTGTGACTAAATTACACTTTTAGTGAATATATGACTTTGGACACATGTTTTCTATAATTAGCTGTGGTGCCAGAAAAGTGATTTCCGGTATTTTCCAAAAAGTGATTGCCCTCATTTAAACCGTAATAAATGACCTTTTGGCCTAAAATGTGTAAAAAGTATGTCAAACGTTTCTGTTATGAATGATATCGAGTTATTTTTAACCACAAACAACATTTTTTCCCACAAGGTAGAAGCTGCAATCAGTTTTTGACAAAGTGACTTTTATATGTGCTTCATGGATTCAGTTAAAAAGCCTCATTGACATTAAAAATGTCTTTTTAAAGAGATGTTGGGCCAAGAGGCAGAAATTGCAACTACTTACCAATATAAGCAAAGACATTACACATTAAAAACAAAACAAAAAACATACAGAAACACCAGAAATCGCCTTTTGGAACAACACCGTGATCCAACTGCACCTGTTCAGTTGTCAATGCTGGGTCTTCTGGCCTTCCCAGCTAAAAGTCTACTAATGGTATAAATAAACTGCTCATGGTTAGTGAGTTCAATTTTCGTTTTAAAAGGGCATTTTTTTCCTTCCTTCTTCTTCTTTGCTTTATTGGTACACAAAGAAAATTAGTGTTACAGCAGGAAAAAAAAAACCCTAAGCAATAACAAAAAGGCAACACTGTGTTGTTAAGGCTTTAAACTGAAAAGTCAACACAATGCAGACGATGCACTAACCTGTCACAAGGCTAGTAAATGCTACTGAGCAAAGCAAAAAAGGTAAAAACACAAAGTAATGTTGACTTGATGTTCTCCCACAGACAACGTCACTGGTTGAGCTTCCTCTGACCTTTATCTGTGTGTTTGAGCAACTGTTGTAAAAGAAGAGGTGAAAGAGAAAGAAAATCCAAATTAATCCACGTGAAGGAGCAGGACCACAGAGAATTTTCAAGATAATAATTTTATGTAAATTGTTATAATATTTTGATATCCTGTCAAATGTTGATGAAAAACTGAAGTAATTTTGCAAGTCTGAATATTACATCAGTAGCTCTAACTTTTAAGTTCTAAGTTAATTATTATTCTATTTTATGAGCCTGACATAAAAATGTAACAGTGTATCAATATCTGTAAAGTGCATTCTATACGGGCTCCAGTTAGTATTCCTGCTGACAAGCATCTTGTGTTTTCAGTCTAAAAACAAGATGTTTGTGATAAAGCAGAGCTCATGTTTATGTGTCCTAATGTGGCCATCAGGATTAACTGATGCCTCAACTGTGCTGTCATCTGTCTCGATCTATTGAAGGAGAGGTCAGAGGTCAAATGTGACATGCTGTTTTACATTTGTATAGGGTGCTTTCTATGTGTTGATAGTACGCACAATGTTTGTAAGAATTATACACTCTTAAGTCATGAGGATTTTTGTCAGTTCTACACTCCAACAAGGTTTTATCAGAATTCATTCAAAACATTTCAAGCTATCATGTTTACAGACAGAACGGGACACATGCAGAGGTTTCCAGAGGTACTCGTGTTTATCTTCAATACACAGTAACTGAGACACCACCATGTTATTATTAATGAATCTCTAATAATCTATGACTGTAGTTTAAACTATTCAAAACTTTATTTTAAACAAATTCAAAGTTTTTCTTGTACCATTACAATATTTTTAAAATAAAAGTTGGCTAATTTTCTGTTTAATCAGCTGAATCACTGGTCCTCAGGTTACTAAAGGAGGGCAATTCCCAAAGTTCTGTGTGGAGGTGGGTAATATATGACAACTGAGATATGAAGATATTGAAAAAAATACTGTATGTTTTTTAAATGCTTACAGGCAGCAGCATTAATAACTGTAAGTAGATGAAGCATCCTTCTTTTCCAGGGAGCTAGTCTCACCAATGTCAGACTACTTAAACTGAAGTGTGAATCTAATGAAAGAAAATGTAAGCACAAAAGTAGCCTAGGTAGTATTTTCCCTGGAATTTTCAAGTGAAAGTATAAAATAATTTTTAAAACTTGAGTTTGAAATTAATTAAATGGCCTTACTCTTGTAAAAAGTTAGGAGCTGCACAATATTGTCATATTGTTACGACCCGGCTCGAAAGCCGCAACATAAAAAAGGAAACGAATACCAGAGTGTAGGTGAACAGAGGTTTTATCTTAAAATGGAATATCAGGTTGGTTAAAATGGCTAGTGCCACCAAAGCAAAGACTAGTGAGCTCCCTGGGAAGCTTGCCTCAGGTATGCTTTTATCCACACCTGACTAGGTGTGGCCAATTAGCACCAGCTGAACACACTGAGCAGATTAGAGGCTGCAGAGGGACGTAACAGATATATTAATATTAAAAAATATTTTCTGCCTTGGTCAGTCTATGCTTAAAGTGTATGCTTAAAGTCCTGCTTTTCCATCATGTGACTGCATCACTAATTTCCATCCACTGTTTGCTCCTCCTGTTATATAGAGCCTAACTAGCGAGTGCAGCTAGTGACTGCTCATGTCCCATGTGTCTCGTTCTACTCAAAGGTGTGTTTTCACCCTCTTCTACCAGTTTGTTGTTTTCACTTTTTTCCAAACAGTTTTTCTGCATGTTTTTGTCCTGTGTTCACTGGAAGCTGCTGAAGTAGCTCCATTTTTAGTTGCACACTGCTCTTACATTCAGACATGCATGGTTTTGACTCCTTGTCATAAACACTAGGATACAAACACATATTCTTGCTATAGCGACACACAGTGTATAGTGTAATAACGATATTATTGCAGATGATATGATGTGGCACAGCCCTAGTGCGAAGTATATGAGAGATTCCATTAAGACATTGATGATCAATAACTGACAATAAAATAAACACTTAGAGTGATTTTGTTATAAATTATGACCTACGTTTTCCAAGCAGTGCAGTTCACACCGTCTTTGGAAAAGAAGCCTGGCTGACAGTCTTCACACACTATGTCACTTCTGCTGGTTCCTGAAAGAAACACATTCATTGTTACACAAAAACATCACAATTTATGTATTCATCTAAAAAATAGACTTAGACTTTAAACTTTCTTACCAGGTTCTTTTATCCTCTGACCAGCTTCACACTGTGAATGTTTCTCTGCCAAACTACATCCGTTACTCTCAATCAAATCTTTACAGTGATATCCATTTAAAACATCACACACTGTGTCCGTTTTTGGTGTACAGTTCCGCTTGACAAAGAGACCATGACCTAAAAAAAACATTGGTGCAATTTGAAAACCTTTTTATTTTTTAAATTAAAAATTGACAAAGAAGTTTCCATCTTACTGTACCTGTATCACAGGTATTGCAGGGGAAACAGTTAGACAGACCATTGAGTTGGTTCATGAAAGTCCCCAGTTCACATGAACGGCACCGAGTTCCTGAATATGCTGTGCAGTCTCTCTGAACAACTGTACCTGTTCAACACAGCACAACATTTATGTGAACATTAAAGCCACATTAAAGGTCAAGAACACAAACGCACAGTGAATGCACAGTGTATTAAATCTGGGGTGAATCTTTTTAGAGACACATTTTAGAAAACTTTAAACACCACAACAGACTGTGTAAAGTTACTAAGCAACCACCAGCTGGTACTGGCAAAATAACTGCCAGAATATAATAGTTTCCTCTGTACTCCTACTATATTTTGAAATTTTTTATATTTCAAGAACAATTGGTGTGCGCAATTATTGCAAAATACAAAACTGCGTGCATGTGCTGTGGAGCAGATAACAGTATGCACCACTTACAACTTTTTCTGATAGTGGAGGAGCCTCTGCTCTGTGAACCATCTGCATATTTCACGTAATTATTACAACAACAAGATAACACAGACTAGTAGCTTACCTAGTCATCTTTTGGGCATTATGAAGAACTAATTGTTGATAGATAGAGAAATGTTTCATCACCGTTTCAAATGTACGTGTAGATGAAAAGAATCAACTTTTTTCAGGTACTAATAGATGGGTATAAGAAATTGCCTTGTTTAGAATTGTACAATCCTTGTGTGCATCATTATTTTTTCACACAGTAGCAGTTTCAAGATGTGACCAAAAGAGGTCATTGTGTGTCTCTTGTATGTATTACTGTTGGGTCTACCTTACAGTATAAACTGCTTTGAGGCGACTGTAGTTGTGATTTGGCGCTATATAAATAACATGTGAATTGAACTGTGAATATGGGGATCAAGTTATTTTTAAACCTCTACAGCTCTGGTACATTTGAAATGGTTATAGTGTGCCACAAAGCCTTGCATTACCCCACACTTCACCCTGTGCCAACAGTGCTGTAGAGGCACATGCTCAACACATATGATCATATGAAATGACGTTTCAGTATGTGTAAGATGAACTGAGTCGAGGTGGACTGGAGGTATGAAAAAAAGGTTTATCTCATCTGAAAGCGCAGCTTAATAACTTGTTTGTGTGCTGCCCCCTCAGACAAACAGTTACAATTTATTTACAATACTTGTGATGTTTCCTGAAAGCTATTATTTGAACTGTGTCAGTTCTAACTATTTATGAAGGTTAGTTGACAGTTTCAGGGGAAAAATGATTTAAAAAAAAGAGCAGATTTTCTGGTTTATTAACTTAAAGAATTATGAGATAAAAGAAGCAGCTGTAACATCAACTAAGATAGACGGCTCTTTATTTACTCTTTATTCTCACAGTGGGAACTCACATAATGTGGGCGAGTTTACTTCTAGAAAGGTTTTCTTATCGTACCTTCTTGGCACATCGGGCAGCACTGCCCATCCCTTGTTGCATACTCCTTTGTGTGACAAGACACCGCAGAAACCACGGAGGCAGCGCGACATGCTGCAGGCAAGCACAGGATCAAGACGCTGTGATAAGTATCCTCCACACAGGCTACAAGCTAAGCTAAGGTTAGCTTTACATAAAAGGCGTACTGCAAACACGGAGCTGTTGTTTGACTTACCAAATACGAGGAACACAGAAACCATGATATCACAGGCTAACATGCTGCCTTATATCGCGACTAAAGCAATTCTTTTTTAAATAACAGTAACGCTTTAAAATTCTGTAGTGAAAGTTAGCTTAAACGTTGCTCTTCGTTTAGTGTGGGCGTTCATGCTGAAAAGCTATCAGTGTTCTGAATGGTTAACTCTGGGATTGTGAGGCTGCTCCTACGTTTGCGAAATTTCTATTGAGGGACCATTTCTAATAAAAATTCCGAGCAGTGTTGCCAACTCCTCAGTAAGGAAAGCTGTCCTAAAAGTCGCTAGAAGTCGCTAAATGACGTCATCGCCTAATTTGCATAATTGGTCATGTTAATGTAATTGTAACCTACGCTGTTGGAAAGAGAAATAACATTGTGGAAGAGACATAAAGTGAGCAAAAAACGTCCTAAATACATTTAGAATTTATTTAGAACTACAAATTAAATTTCTTTTAGCAATTATTTTTTTTTAATGTCACAATTCCAACCCTGCTCCTTTAACCGGGCTTCGACTGGCAAAAGTGACACGAAATAGGCACTCTGGTGGAGTTACTTTGTGTGTGTGTGTGTGTTTATAAGTAGTTTTAAACCTTGTGATCCACAAAACAGCATAACGGTAAAAGAAGAACTGCAGTCAGTGCGGGAGCAGCGGCTTCGCTCATGCACGGTTCATTTGCAGTTTGGACGCGTAGGTGTGAACATCTCCTGCAGCTGGGGGAGGACTATCCTCCGCCCGTGAGCGCTTTAGCACGGGTGAGGTGCCCACGGCAGCACCGCTGCTTGTTGAGAGTAAGAGCAACGCGCCCTTTCACGTCAAAAAGTCGTCATAAATAAGTCTCCAATAACACCAGAAAAAGTCGCCAGATTTGTCGCTAGTCGCTTTTTAGAAAAAAAAAGTCGCTAAGGGGGTCTGAAAACTCGCTAAATATAGCGACAAAGTCGCTAAGTTGGCAACACTGATTCCGAGAGTAAAAAACTGGAAGAAACTTTAAACGTAATCTGGAACGCACCGGTTGTGACGTACTGGATGGAGCACGACGACGTGAATTCATAGTGCGTTTTTGATTAAATCAGAATTATTGAACTAGGGCGTATTCCGACTTCCAAGATGAGTGGATGACGGTTTGTAGTGGGACAGGGCCAGAAAGACGGAGAAACAGGTGATGGGATGGAAGTGTGGTGGGGGCACAGTGCCCCAGTTTAGAAGAAAACAGTTCAGACAGAGGTAGTATAGTCCGGAAATACGGAGCCCCGCAACAGACATTGGAGGAAAAAATAATAAAGATGAACTTTTGCGAGATCAAAAGTTGAAATTACTCACAAGGGAATATGTATGGTTCCCATATTTTAAGAAATGTATTTATTTATGCAAAAAGTGAATTAAAACTAGTAATAGGTGGTTAGTTTGTGATATTACTCTGACCTAAATTTGCTGCTCTTGTGTTTAAGTTTTTGTCCCAGTGGTAGGTGGGTCACTTTGCATACAACTGGGTAGTAATTTATAGCCAATACCCTGTGCTGTGTATGTTTTTTGAATAAAAATTTCAAGGAAATGCATCACTTTGTCTTGAATTTTTATTAGTGTAAATGTACGATTGCATTTTGGTAAAAGGAACACACAAAATATTATAGTTGAAACCTGGACAAGAAACAAAAGTGCCAAAGTAGTACATTTTTATTCATCCTAAGACCAGTCTGGTACTTTGGTCCACCTCTCTCTGTACTGCTACTACTACAGTATCAAAGGAAGACGTCAGTGAGGGGAAGAGGCTGCGATATACCGAGCTGAAGGCAGAACAGGAAATCTGGAGAGCAGCAGTTTGCCCAGTGGATGTCAACTGCTGGGTTTCATCACTACAACCACAGACACACTTCCCAAACACCCTCAGGGAAATTTCAGGGACTGCTGAGCACTGCAGTCTAGGGCTAGATGAGGAGAAAAAAAACCCATCTGGGCCCTGAGATGTTACGGTAAACACCCAGATCTGAACAGCCTGAGGTAGGCCTCTCTCAGCAGAGGGTGTATTGTGAGTAAAATACACTCCCTACTGAGGGTGTATTTATGTTGAAGGACACAACTGAGGAGGGGAACAACTGACCAGTGAAA